CATGGACACCTGGGTGGCTCAGTCGGTTAAGCATCCGACTCTTGATTTTGGCTCGGGTTCATGATCTCAGGGTAGTGAGATGGAGCCCTGCATCAGGCTCCATGTTCAGCAGGGAGTCTGCTTGAGATTTCCTCTCTCCCTTTCCCTCTGCACACCACAGCCCCTACCCCCGCCATGCTCAAGCATGCGTACACATGGGTGCGTGCTTTCTCTCTAAAATCTTTTTTTTTTTAAAGATTTTATTTATTTATTTGACAGAAAGAGACACAGCGAGAGAGGGAACACAAGCAGGGGGGGTGAGGGAGGGAGAAGCAGGCTTCCCACCGAGCAGGGAGCCCGATGCGGGGCTCGATCCCAGGACCCTGCGATCATGACCCGAGCCGAAGGCAGACACCTAACAACTGAGCCACCCAGGCGCCCCTCTAAATATAATCTTTTTTAAAAAAGTAATTATTACAACTATTGATTTTATTCCACGAAATTTATATTTCTATTAAAATGATTTTCTATGAAATAAAATAATTTTTTAATTTATGTTTTGCATATATTCGTAAATTCCTTTATTTGTTTGCCTAATCCTCTATGTAGTGGTTCTCAAAGTATGGCCCTCAGCCCACGGCAGGGCCAGCGAATCTTCCCAATGGGTTGCCCTTGACAATTCTAAAACTTTTTCTTAATTTGAATGAGATCAACCCATTAATAACTGTCTATATATGTTTTGCTACATTTGGTATTTTTAAACTAAAATCAGTGCTTTTTAGACTTTGGAGAATGTAGGCATGGATCCAATTCAGTATTTTACTAACACTGCAAGGTTCCAGTTACATGTGTGCATATGCAAGTGATTGGATTCCTACAATCTGGGGGAAGGATACATATTAATTATCAGTACTGCCTTGAATAATCATGTTTTTTAATTGCCGCTCTTCTGCTTCTTAACAGCAAATTATTGTTAGTTTTGTTCATCATTATCAATTTAGTTTGTTGTGAGTTGTTTTTAACCCCATAGCATATAGTAATGAATATTTATGAATTTTTAGGCTATAATTTTCCAAAATTACTCTGGTATGTATGCACTGTGTTCAAGTATGAATCATCCATTCCCTTATTACTAAAGCAGATGTATACATATTTCCCCCATAATTTGTTAATATGAGAACATTTCATCAGGAATGTGTGCAGTGCATGGAATTTTAGCTTGCAAATTACAATATAACATGAAAGTAAATCTAATAAAAGTATTGGGTTATTTTACATTTACATGTTATTGTCTTAAAAAGCAAACATGAGTAATGGTTTAATCTTATTACATAAAAAGTAAGCACTGCATATATATATATATATATATATTTTTTTTTTTGGCCATATTTTGATTATCTGGAGCAAGACAAAATTGTGAATCATTATTCAAGGTCAATAGTCTCCAAACTGTTTTACCAGATGTTAATAGGTGTTCTGCAAACAATGAATTCTTTACTCACATAAACTGGGAGGAAGTGATATGTATTATGTTTCCTTTTTCCAGATTTGCAAGGCCCTTTAGCATACTGTGATGGTTAATTTTATGTGTCAACTGGGATAGGCCATGATGCCTAGATATTTGGTCAAACACTGGCCTGGATGTTGCTGTGAAGGTATTTTGTAGATGAGATTAACAGTTAAATCAGTGGACTTTGAATAAAGCTCATTGTTTTCCCTAATGTGGGTGGGTCTATTCACTAAGTTGAAGACCTTAAGAGAAAAAATAGTGACCTCCGAGGAAGAGGGAATTCTGCCAGCATTTGGTTTTGGACTCAAGCCTGCAGCATCAACCCTTCTCTGGGTCTGCAGCCTACTGGCCTGCTCTGAAGATTGCCAACTGCTACAGGTACACGAGCCAATTCCTTAAAATAAATCTCTTCATAGATAGATACATACCCTAATATGATAGATTTATACACATCTGTATATTCTCATGCATAAACATAGAGTTTTCACACACACATCCTATTGGTTCTGTTTCTCAAGAGGACATGCCACACATGTTAAAGGCTCTAGAAAGTTCTACAATTAAAAAAAAAAATCCCTGGGCGCCTGGGTGGCTCAGTTGGTTGAGCGACTGCCTTCGGCTCAGGTCATGATCCTGGAGTCCCGGAATCGAGTCCCGCATCGGGCTCCCTGCTTGGCGGGGAGTCTGCTTCTCCCTCTGACCCTCCCCCCTCTCATGTACTCTCTCTCATTCTCGCTCTCTCAAATGAATAAATAAATCTTTAAAAAAAATAAAAAAAATAAATCCCTGTTTAACCCAGTGTTTTCCCAGGTTATTTAACCACAAAACCTTTTTCATATAATACCTACAACTATCACAAATACCGCTTGGGCAATGTTTTTCTCAAGACTTGACCTTAGAGCTGATCTGTAGCCTCTTGTCAGTAGCATCAGACTCTAAACCTGTTCAACTCAGAAACTAATAGCATAACTATTGGAACAAAAGTCTCCACCTGTCCTTTCCTTCCGCACAGGGCAGCGGCAGAGGGAAACTGCCGTGTTTTGTGGGCGCAGCAAGGTGAAATAGTCACTGTGGGGTCGGTTCCACATACAGTGCTGTCTGATGAAAATAACTACTGGTGCAACAGACCCTGTAGCTGGGCTTTTGTAAAATGCTCTTTTGTGGGTATTTCTGGGGACTGGCGAGTCGTCCTGAAATACCATCAATTACAGTGCGACGTGACATAAGGCAACGCATGAATGGCAGGGAGCCTGACCAGAAAAGCCAGTTCTGCCTCCGTAAAAGGCATCATGCCTCCTCTGTCTTATTATCCCTTCTTACATGTGTTTTCACAAACGGTCCTCACTGACCCCAATTTATCCTTCAGAGCTTATTCTAGAAGCCATTGCCCTTTCTGACTGATCTCTTCCCCAGAACCCACCAGATCAGCCTGCCCTGTTCCCTGTCATGTGCGTTCAAACACCATGTGCCCCTGCATTGGACAGAAACTGTATTTATTAGTGCCTGTCTTCCCTCCAGGACTGGGAGGGCCAAGAGGACAACGGCCATTTCCATCTCGTTCGTCTGGGCAGCTCTAGTGTCTGGCGAGCAGCCAGAATGCCCCGAGAAGGAACGAGTGACCCGAGAAGAGCTTCCTCCCGCCTCGTTTTCCAAGGGAGTCCATATCAATTTTCCTTTCTTGGTAGCCCAATTGGTGTACTTTTCTCTACTTTGATCTATCTCGAAAGATCTTCACTCTTTCAACCTTTAAAAAAAATCCATGCCAAGAGCCCATGACGTGTTCACATGTATGTGTATGCACACACACACAACGCACATGCACGTGTGCACACGCAGGCACACCTCTACCTTCGCTTACTCTTACAAATAAGAATAAATACATTCATTTATCAAGCAAAATAGTGTGAAGAGATGGGGAATGCAAGGAACAGGAGGAGGAAAGAGAGACTGAATCCAATTACAGCTGTATCATTTTCTGGGTCAAGTAGAATTGTGCAAAAGTTTTCAAACCTATAAAAAGAAAAGCAGAGGCTCAGTCAGGTTCCAGGATCAGTTCCTTTCCCCGCAGCTGCCATTTCCCCAGCCTAGTGCTACACTCTGTACGCTGAACATGGGTTTCTCTTCAAGAGTCCTCGCTGGAAACAAAAGCATTGAGAAAACTCATGCATTGGCAGGTAAACAGGCTTTCATTTCAGGAAATTTGGCCGAACATTTGGAGGGGACGCAGATGTAAGGACTGAGGGGGAGGGTGGCAGACAGTGGATGCCGGGCCTGGCTCTAATCACTCCCTGTGCATCCTCTACCATCCCCTCCAGACCCTCGGTTACTCACACAGTACCCCTTGGCAGGGAGGGGCCAGAATGGCAAAGACCTTGGGGTTGACACAGGTTCCCCCCCACTTCTTCCAACCCTACACCCAGAGGCAGAAAACTTGCACTAGCTATCCAAATAGAGCCTCATCTGAAAGAGGTTGCCAACATGGGCCTCCCCAGGCAAGATATGCTTGCAGGGCTCTCCTGTGTCCCCCTGTCATTTACCCCAATTCCCACTAAGTCTACAGAGAAGTCTCTAGATAAGGCTATAGGTACAATCCAGTCCTGGGCATGGAGGAGCTAAGACCTGGAAAAGCTAAGGTCTTTAATAAATGCCTTAAATGCCTTTCTGCCCCTTTTTAGAAAAGCTCAAGCATGCGGAAGCAGTTACTATAAGGGAATCCCTACTGGCCCCAACACACACACACATGCCCGCTCACTCTGAGATCAGAGAAATCCATATAAGAAATTCTAAAATATGTGAAATAAATTTCACATTTCCAAAGATCTGGACTCCCTAGTACAGAGCTTGCTTTTTGGTACAAGAAATGGGTATTGAATCACAGTAATCTTACACTTTTAAAACTATGGGGATTGTTTTTTAATTGCCCAGAGAGCCAGGTCATGCTTATACAAGCATGTGTTATCAGATCATTGATAACCCCTTAAGAAGGATTAGGCCACTTGCTAAACTGAACTGAAATTCACTGATGTGATCCAGAGTTATTGAAAGACAGGATGCTTTTATCAAAAAAGGCTCTCCCAAACACTCTCAGTCCCACTGATGAAAATACGCATTGAAGGATACCTTTCCGGATTCAGAGCCAAGAGGCAGATCACACTGCCTCTCACTACACGAGCGCCTATGTGAAGTTGTTCTACACATAGTATAATAAGATGGTCCATCTGGGGCCTGACACACGCAATGCCACTTCTAAACAGGAGAAGGAGAAAGGTAGGGCCACCGGAAGTCATGAAAACTCAAGTTACAACACCATCCTTGCTACTACTCATTACAAATGCGCTCTTCGGCTTCTTGGAGGAGCCACTTGAAGGTCACCTCCGCTTAAAATTCTTGGCTCAGGAGCTCCTTGTTGCTTTATTACCTAAGTCTATTAAAATTCTTAGAGTAGCTGATGATGAAAATTCCAGCCAATTTTTTTTTTCTCCATGGAGTGGGAAGAAAAAAAAAAACAAAAAACCAACGCGTGAGTCTATTTGAAATCGTTTTATGAATTTTAATCATAGCAAATGTGTTTTAACAGTAGTCATAAAATCAACATTACCACATATACAAAGGACAAGACACCAGTTTGGCATACAAAAATACCATATATTAAAATTGGGTTCATTGGAAAAACTCAGGACTTGCTAAGACACCATCTACACCAGAGAGAGCAAGCAAGAATGCTTTTAAGACATTCAGATTTATAAACAGCAGCTTGATATCCCCCTTACAAAGTCAATTATTTGGCAACATTTGAACAATATTTTCTACACAGCCCAGCAGCTCATTTATTTGTAGGGCTATTTGGCCCTTTAAAAGAAAAGCTCCTAAAATAAATAATCTACATAATTGTGAATGAAACATGTCAAGGACTTGAGTTAGCCTCTGAGCAGCATTAATCTAGCCATCTGACTGGAGTATTAGTTATCAAGAGGGCCAGGGAACCCACCAGTGGACCTGGAAGATCGGCAGGAACCCTCCAGAGCAGCCGCATGGCTTATGATGGGGAAGTCTGCATCCACCCCAAGCTGACACCAGCCTCCCCTCCTGCAAGTGTCAAGTGAAGCAAACAGGAACATGTGGTCAAATAAAGAAAATATAATAAATGACAACAACCAGGATTGAAAACCAAAATATTCTTGAACGAGTCTTCCCAAGAGCATCAACCTACTCAAGTCGGGATACATCCACAGGCATGGGCATTGCATTCCACTGCTAAGAGGGTGTTATTAGAGTTTATCTGTAATGACTCAGCAACCAACTCTAGAGCAGGCTCTGAGATTGTCTAGCGTGTGGACAACCCAGGGGGGCCCTCCTTGGATCCTCTCATTGGCCGAGCGCATTCCCTATAGGTCTTCAACTTAAACATCTGGGATTTAATTGTGCTTGTCTAAGTTATTCCTAGCCGTCCTTGTGTTTCTTTCTTCAGCTGGTTTCTGCCACGACTGACCTTCAGCTCCTATATATTTTGTTCTCGACCCAGGTTCCCATTACAGATTTCTCTCCTTTTATGCAACTATTTTCTCACTGTCTTGAGCACATCTCTCTATTGCTATAGACCTGAGGCCACATCTCCACTGCTCCCACAGATCTGTCGTTCAGCCAGAAAAATCAGACCAGGGTTTCCTCAACCACAGCAGCTACTCTGTCCTCCCATTTAAATAGAGATGACACCGATTGAGGTCGAACCTTGCTCCCCTTCAAGGGGACGTCTTCCTCCTCTTTTTCCGCCTTCTTACAGCCCATGCAACTTTACCACCCTCACATTCAATCGTCTACTTCCAGATTCTCAAAAAGCAAATGTCAAATTAAAAATGGAACATCCCCTTTGGAAAACTCTTGTTGGAATAACCCAGTAACTCACAGGGAGAATACAGAAAATTGTCACACAGGCTACTAGCCCTACAGCCCATAGTGATGAATTTAGAGCAGCGTTCTAGAAGAACAGGGACACCTATAAGAGAGCACCCCCGGAAAAACAAAGAAAATGCATGCTGTTGCAGACTTCAAGAGACTCCTCTGTACTTTGCCCCAAATATTACTGATTGTCCCTAAAAAGATCATAACATGAATCATATCAAAAATCTTAGACTAGAATAATAAAGTCCAGCTAGCGAGATGAGTGTTTTCAAGCACCACTACATCATAAGTGAGATATACATAGTGGGATACCCCAGGCAGTGAATCCTGAAAAAAAAAAAAAAAAAAATCCCTTGGTCCAACTGTGCAAGTAAACTTGTGCTGAAAAACTGGAGCCATGCTGCAAGAGTTCAGGAATAATGGTACTCCACCCATGATGCCTGAACAGAGCCAAAAAACAAGGCATTTGAAAGACAGAAATTAAATGCCCCACCTGCTTATGTTCTTCGATCATCAATGGCTTTCCAATAAAATGTATACAGTAGAACCCACCTCTTCATATGCTTGAAGTCTCAGGGGTTTATTCATCTAGACATTTCCAAAGGTGGTTGGTTTGATATAATGTATGCAGCCCATAGCATTTGTTAAGAAATTAATATCTAAATTCAACATTATATAACCCACAAATTGGAAAACATGACTAACAATATTTTTTACTTGATTTTTTAACTCCTGCTACAGCTAAGTCATGTGTGTGTATCTACCTATATGTCTATACCTATATGAGACAGAGATATGTGTATCTATATATAGTGAATCGTGTCAGAAAAAAAAAATCAGTGGCTTGAATTTCCACTTATTTTTTAGAAGTATTTCATGCTTAATAATATTTAACTGATCTTCATTGCTTTTGAGATAGACTACTACTTTCAACAGTTACTGAATTTTCTTGATTCCTTCATTCTTTTTTGGAGCTTCTGTTTTGGTAAGGGTTATATTGTAAGTGATCTTTTACTGGGAGTGATGAAAATGGCAAGGAACAGTCTCTCCTTCCAGGTCAAGGATGACAGATCAACTGATGGGTGACACGACTTGTGTGGAAACAAAACGCTGACTGATTGGCAGCATCATTCTTTTAGGAGAAGATAGAAATTCAAACCTTTTCGATATCACTCCTCTCATACCAATAACCTCTGGACCTCTAAATTCCTCTTAAGTCTAAAGAAAAACTACCATTTTGGCAAAAAAAAAGAATTAAGCAATTTTAAAAGCTAAAAAGGTCATGCCCACTGACAAGTTCTAGAAAAAAAATTCACCAGGTTTTGCTAAATTGACACAAATGCATGTTTACGTTACATTCAGCAACAATGAAAAGCAGACTAGCCAATTTTGACACAGTACAGGATTTCAAATAAAGCAACGGTAACTCTTCAAATCAAAATCTAGACCATAATAAATACCATAGTACCAGGAAGAGTCTCATCTTTCTATGAAAATATACCTCAAACTGAATTTTCTGCTTTCCTTTACTCACTTAAAAAGCAATTTTAGTAACTTTAACAACCCTCAAGTCTTTAAATTCCATGGGCAACGTTTTTTAATGTAAAAAAAAAAAAACATGTCTTTGTGCAAGGCTGCAAATTGGCAGTTTGTTCAGGGACAAGGGATAAAAGGAAAAGCCAAACAAGACGACAAGTGTCCAATCTCACTCTAAAAATAGTACCTCTGTTGTAGTCTGGTATTCGAAAAAGGATGCCCACATGTGCCCACACCAAACACGACGACGAGCCGGCAGACTTCAGGGGCAAACAAAAACCCTCTATGAACACTGCAGAACATGATTGCTCTTGCATTTCACACCTTACTCATGCAGTGATGAAGTCTGGGTAAGATGCTCGAAGTGAAGAGGAATTTCATTAGGCTTTTGTTTTGTTTTGTTTTTCTGTAACATTTACTTTTTGGCCTAAGACCCTAAACACAGTTTCAGAGTACGGGTCACGCGTAGCTTGCGAGTCAGAAGTTTTTGCAGCTACTGTCTAACTACTATTTCTGGACAATCGATTCACATGCAGCTACTGATCCCAGAAAAGGGGCTTCATAAAACACTCTTTAAGCTTCACTGACCATTCTTTGGCCCAAAGTCTGGAAGTAATAACCCCAAAGGGCAATCGATGAATTTTATTTTTTCAATCAATGAATTTTAATCGTCATACTTGAGATCTACTTTTTAAGCCCAGAAAGGATTTTTTTTAGCCAACTGCATGTTACTAAACCACAAACTGTCTTCCTAGCCTTACTCTGTTAACACTCTCATGTTCGATCCTACTGTGCAACCCTCCAGAATTACACGATCCGATATGGTGGCCACAGCCAAAAGTGAGTGACTATGTTTAAATAACTTAAAATGAAATAAAATACAAAATCCAGTTCCTCAGTCGTACTAACCCCGCTTCAACTGCCCACTAGCCAATGTGGCCAGTGGCCACTATATTGGACCGCAAAGGTCATAGAACACTTCCATCATTGGAGAAAGATCTATTGAACAGACTAGATCTCAAAGGCTGCACCAGCACATGGGTTAACCTTCAATGGACCTACTTTTAAGTCACGCTCGAGACTGAACTTAATTATATTCTTAAAGAAAATACCTTTTAGCTTTCTAGTCATAAAGTATGACTGAAACGGAGAACCAATTTGCCTTTTCATCACAACTTACGCCCCAGGTCATTATACAAAAATCTCCCAAAGACAATGCTTTTTGAGAGCATACTCGGTTGGCTCTACGTAACATATTAAGCATTCTCGCGCTTATGTCAAGATCATTAATAAAGAAGAGAATCATGCTTCTTAAAGTTTACTATTTACACAACACTCATTGTCCTTTACATAACGGGGGGGGCAAATGGTTTGCAATTTTAAAAATTCAAATCACATCATCTTTCTTAAATGTCTATACTCATCCTTAAATCAACCCTCCTTTCATTTCCCAGAAAGGTAGATGCTAACTAAAACAGATATATATATTTAAAAAACAAAAAACAAAAAACTAAAACACTATTTAGTTAAGGGAATTCATCCACTCTCCAAAAGACCATAGCCCAATAGAGATATCAACAGGCCTAGGAAGGAGCAAGAGAAACTATAATGTAGTTCTTGTCTCCCTTTTGCTGCAGAATTATAAGGGGCCACATACCTCTGTGGGCCTCCATGGATTCATGTACAAAATGAAGCCACCAGAGGTTGCTTTCAGCTCTGAATTTCTGTGCTTTCAGTTGTGATTTTTTTCATTGATGTGCAACTGTGAATTCCGGTTGATTGTGTCACTGGACTTTTGTCACACGGGGTAGATGAATTGCTAGTGTCGTGGGGAAATGCCAGAAGAGGCCAGCAGGATGGGATGCCAACTAGCATGAAAACATCAAGTCTACAAAAATTCTATCTGCAGGCTGAGATAGGACGCACACAAACACACACACACACGTGTGCACAACTGCACACTTTAACAAGCAATGCACAAATAACTGCAGGCAGAATCCATTTAAACAAGATTTCTTAGGTCAGTAAGATGCACACACAAAATTCTGATTTTGGTGTTACTGTTACCTTAAATTGTAAAGTCAAGAATCTATCACAGAGCCGATTAATTTTGCACTGCTTCACTGCAGCTCTAGCATGGGATAGTTTTTAAGTTACGTGGACATTTTTACTCTACGGCTTTGCACTAAGAAACACAGGGCGCTCTATCACCACGCACATTAGTGTCTATGTACAACCTACTTAACACGTAGAACTCTAGGACATACTACACTACAGGGCCAGTCATTTCATACTGTACATAAACAGATGTAGATATCATTCACAAAATTAACTCAAATATGGCCTGGCTGAAAATTGCAAGGGTCAAGTCCATTTGAAATGTAGCATTCTTAATGCAACATTTCCTGTGGGGTTTTTTCCTCCGAGAGGAATAGAAATTAGGTCAGACATGCATCACGGCAGCCTGGCAGAGTTTGAGAAATCAACACTAACCCAACAGTACATTATGTTACGTAATAGAGAATAGTATTCAGCTAATATGATACCTAAATTGTTAATACCAAATAAATCCTAGATTATTTGTTGTATAATGCCCAATAGCTTACACAATAAAATGGCATTTTAACCTGATTTCTACTTTGAGCTCTCAAATACACTTGCTTCATGAATTCCATAAAAGAAATTAGAAGAGAATTGTAAAGCTCACAGCTTTTTCTGAACACACACACATCCAGGCACAGGAATTTACCACTTAACGCCAGCAGACCTTTCTTCACCAGGGTCTGTAGACCACTGCACACTTAAGAGTATTTGAGAATTTATGATGAACTGATCCACTTAGATTGGGAATGTGAGTTGTTAGTTTATCTTGTCACTTTTCTCAATAAAAACATATTTTGAAATACAAGAGATTTTCTCACTTATACCAACAAGAAGAAACTGGAATCCTAATGGTTTAACTTTCACGGAACATCTTTCAAAAAGCAATCATGGACTGTCTATTAAAATGTCAGTCCAGGTTTGTCATCGATGAACAACGCTCACGTCTATTACAATACCTCCAAACTGGGAGAAAAGACAGAATCTTCTGTTACTTTCCATTTGTGCCTCACAGAATACAGGACTTGAATACACAGAAGAGGAGCAAATGTTGGAAGTGACGGGTATGCGACACTTCACTGGGCAGATCCCGGTGCCCAAGAGGTGGCCACCGAGTCAGACCCTGGACTCATTCAGGCCCACAAAGTCTTACTCCTGGGATTCTTCTGAAAAGATTCAAAACCTGAGGTAAGTCAAATGACACACATACACATGAACACACATACAAGTACACAATATTTACATTTAAAATTCTTATTTCTTGAGATGGCTTGAGAAAAATTGGCATATGGGGTTCCTGTGGGATTAGGCATTTCTCACTATTACTCAGTTTATTGCTCCCCTGTTGGGCTTTCAGTTCAAAAAACACATAGCGAGCTCTAATTACAAGGGAAGAAAAATGAAGGTATGTAACAAAACACAACACACTGGAAACACTTGTTCAGACGTTTTCTCCAAAAAAAATGACCGTCCACTTCACTTATTTTCATTTGAGTGCCATTCAAAAAGTATAAAAAGCCTCAGCAACTAAATGAAGACTGGATTTCCATTAAAAAGGGGAAAGAAACCAGCACTGCATGTCATCGCTGAATTTTTACGTGGATTCTCAGGTTTAATTCTACTTATATACATAAGCATCTCTGTTTTAATCTACCACATTTAGAGAAGATCACATTGTATGCACTTGCACGGTTTAACGTCTAAGTAGATTAGGTCTATCTCGTAACACGATTTTGACAAATCATAAATTACAGTCCATTTAATAAATGATTATGAGGATGCATGCAATCGTCTTCGAAGCTGTTGCCACCAACACTCAGAACGATTTGCCCGGTATCTCGCTGAGACCTCACGTCTGCCCTTCGTGTCTGTCTCCAGTTAACCAAGCAGTAGCCCAGAGGCCATGGCTGGCACCAAATGATCAGCGTCGCCCCCCATCTTCTCGCTGCGATCCCATCACCAACACCTGCTCAACCCCGAGTGGGCACCCACGAGAGACTTCCCTGCAGCCCTGTTCAGCCACAGGAGATCACAGTGAAGCGCTTGGAAATGCAGGACATGTTGTGTAGCACGATGCCCAGCAGGAAGACAAGGACGCAGGCCACCAGGATCACAGTGCACACCCCAGACCAGGTGGAACTTTTCGCCACACCCCGCCTGTCTGGCTCCTCCTCCCCCGCCTCTGGCGGCGCCCCGCCCTGCAGAGGTTGCTGCTCGGCGGGGACGGTCACCACGGTGACGGCCTTCTGCTGGCTCCCGGGCAGCAGGCGGCAGCTCATGTCTCCTGGCAGCAGCGCTCGCTCCTTGGAGATGGGCAGGGGCAGCATGTAGCACCCATTGCTGGGAAGTTTGATGAACACGGGGGTGTGCTCGGACGCGTGCGGGATGGCGATGACCGCAAGGACCTCAGGGTCGTCGGGGAGCTGCGACACGGAGAAGCCCGGGGGCAGCTTGGTGATGCCCCGGCACCAGGGGCACCTCACGTCCTTCTGGCTTGTCCTCATCTGCTGGAGGCACACCGAGCAGCAGGTGTGTTTGCAATCCAGCAACTTGGGCCTTCGCCGGGGGCTGTAGTAGTTGAAACAGATCTGACATTCCAGCAAGGAATCTTGGGAGAGCGTCTCCATCGCGGCCGTGCCTGTGGCCGGGAAGCAGGAGGGCCAAGGCCAAGGGCAAGGAGCTTGTGTTCAGGGGCCGGCACTCCCACGCCTTCCTTCTTGTCTTTCCAAAGTCGTCAGGTGACTGGGGAGCTCACGGACATAGAGCATACTCAAGTGTGTTCATTTCTGAAGAAGATAAAAAAATGCAGAAAAGTTAATGACTTCAAACAAGCGGAGATGTCAGCACATCTGCTGGAATTCAAAAGTCTTGACACTGGGTCAAAAACGTAAAAATGTCCCACTCGAGAGAGATTACAGGAGTTCCTTGGGTAATGCCCAGTGGAAGGTAAATGAGTTGTCTCAGGCGGCTTCTTAGGGTAAATACTTTGCTCATTTCTAAAGGGAATACCTTCATGGGGGTACACAATGCCCCGTATTTCATAAAGAGGGAGTCTTGATTCTGTTTTGTGTATTTCGGTGGACCCTGGCTTGTTCTTCTAAAATACACGGGAGAAATGCTCTTGCTTCCAATAACTTTGTAGCATCTCCTAGAAGTAAATTTCTTTCCTTAGACCCTCTGGTCTTCTTTTCCTGACTCTACTGTAAGTATTCATTGCCAGATTCAGGCGCAACTTCCCAAATCTAGTGACTCCATGTAACTAACTAGTTCGCTCAATTCCTCTCTCATAGGAAATTAAAACAATGCTGCCAAAGAAGTGCACACAGGCATCTGGTTTTTGGTTTTGTTTTTGTTTTTTTCCCACCAAATCACTGAAACAAATTCTTGTCACTTGGTTTTAAAAGAGACAAAAACTCAAAACAACTGCAACAAAGACCAGCGGCAACAATGAACCTTCAGGCAGCAGGGGTCACAAAGGCACACAAGGACCCCTAGTATTTTTCAGTCCATTCTTTTAATTGCATTACTATTTAGGCTTGCACCAAGTAACAGGACTGCAAGCAAATACTATTAACTCACCAGTCAGAATCAAGTACTGTCTAGCAAGAGGCTGTCAGTGAAGACTGGCACCCCCCCACCAGGCAGCCCCCCACCATAAAACAAAAAGAGTGCCAGCCTCCTGGTTGAAAGAAAGCAAAGTAACTTAGTTCAACTTAACTGGGGTCTGAGGAACCCAGGGTTTCAGTGAAGGCTGCCCAACTCTGTTTCCTATTGAAAGCGTCCAAATTACGGGTCTCTGGATGGAGTCATAATGACTCTGGAAAGAACTACCCAACCACTATTGTAGAAATAATTGCCAGTCATTGAACCCCACCCACTCCCAGAGCCAGGAGCTAATAACATGGAAAAGCTCCAGCACGTTTCTTAAAAAGCAAACCTTCTCTTTCTAACTTCCCTTGTGAAATTAAGAATGTACTCCTTGCCAATGATATGATTTGTTAAAAATCAAAATTAGAAATGCAGAAAAAGCATAAAGCAAAAAATAATCACTGGTAAAAGTTAACAATGACAGTCAAAAAGAGCAACATAATTGTAAAACATTTTAGCTGTAGTAAGAGCGCCTAGATTAAATTACTGAAAGTCAAATACAGTAATACAGCATTCGGAAAGTTCATATCATAATCAACTGCTTATCTAGCTACTAATTCAAGAATTTTTTATAGAATAATTGAAATTTGCTAAGGGTAGAACTCAACTGTTCTCACTGAAAAAAATATACCTATGAAGTGGTGGACATGTTAATCAGCTAGATTGGGGGGGTCCTTTCACAATGCATATAGCAAATCACCACCATGCACACCTTAAATACCTTACACTTTTGTCAGTTATACCTCAATAAAGCTGAAAAAAAGTAAAAATTAAAGATATCTGTGGAGCATATCAGGAACAAAGCACAATGCTAGCTAGCTACTCTAGGGCATCAAGATGAATCAGGTCCAGATCCTACTCTTAAGCAATTTCAGGTTAGCTAAGAAAGAAAACATGAATAGATTTCCTCTTCCATTCATTTATTCATTCAAATTCTTATTGAACATCTGCCATGTGTCAAGCATTATGGTATTTGTTTTTGTCCCTTGTAACTAAGACCTTGTCACTGCCCACAAGAAACTCCCAGCCTAGCGGTAACCAGTTATGCATGTGAACAGTTGAATAGAGTGATTCAAGCCATACAGGAGCCGGAGGAATCAGGGATGGCTCAATGAAAGATCTGGATATGGAGAGGATTTAGACATGTAAAATCAGGGGGCAGTTTATTTTCAGGTTCGGAAATCAGTGTGAGCAAAGGAAAGAGGGTGAGCAACTACAGAATTATTTCTAGACTCTACCTGTGGCACTGGCTAGACGATTTTTTTCTTAGTACAAGAGTAACTTTAAAATGCCCCCTCTAAGAGTTTTATAGTTTTAGCTTTGATGTTTAGGTCTTTGAAACAGATGCCTTTTTAATTTATTATTATTTTTTTAAGGTTTTATTTTTCAGTAATCTCTACACCCAAAGTGGGGCTCAAACAACCCCGAGATCCAGAGTACAGGCTCCACCAACTGAGCCAGCCAGGCACCCCCAGATGCCTTTTAAAGAAACAAAATTCTTACAGCACCTGCAAGCACCCTCCTGCTGGCCCAGCCGGAGAGCACAGTCCTGCAGGGAGGGGAGAAGTGAGCATTGCCAGGCACAGACCACACACCGTGGACAGCCTTGAGTGCCAGGCCAAGGATGCGGGGCTTTCTAGCAGGTGATGGGAAAACCCAGACAGGTTAAGAGTATGAGAATGAGGGGACACCTGGGTGGCTCAGTCGGTTAAGCATCTGCCTTCCCACTCAGGTCATGATCCTGGGGTCCAGGGACTGAGCCCTGTGCGGGGCTCCCTGCTCAGTGGGGAGTCTGTTTCTCCCTCGCTCTCTGTACCTCCCCATCCCCACCCCCTGCTCATTCTCTCTCTCTCTCTAAAAAATAAATAAAATCTTTAAAAAAAAAAGAGAGCATGAGAATGATTCATTAGGTAGTCATATTCGGGATACACTGGAAAGAACTGCTGGGAAGCTATTATAATATTAGACAAGAGGTAACGAGTCGTTGAAGGAAAGACTGGCAATCAGGATGAAGAGATGAGAGGTGCCAAGTGATTCTAGGGAAGCCGAGTGGGATCCGGCAGTGAATTACAATGTGGCTGTACGGTGGGGAGAAGGCACGGAAAGTCTGGAGAGGAGAGTGGCATCATTAAGAGAAATAGGGATCCCGAGAGAACGACAGTGAGTTCTGCTTGGGCCATATTCCAGTTGAGGTGCTGGGAAGATATACGAAATAAGTTATGCAGGAAGATAGGAAAGAGTCAGACAAAAGCTGAAAGTGTGGGGCTGATATTGTAGAGAAGAGTCAGGTGTGGACCTGGAGACCCAGGTGACGGCCACAGAGAAGAGCTATCAGCCAGAGACAACGGAACAGAACAGAGAGACACCCTCGGGGAGCACACAGCTCCGTCTCATGGAAAGGAAGAACGGGGACAGAAGCAGAAGGAAAGCTATCAACATCTCCCAGCACACATCCCCAGGCCTGAGCAGCATAAGGGTATGGAGAGGGAACCTCGGGTTTTCGTGACCAGGGGATCCTTAGTATTTTTAAGAGTGTTTTCAATGGAGCATCAGGGAGGTGATGCAGTCGGCAGGGATGCTAGAATGGGAGCACCAGAGCCCCTTTTGAGGTAGTGCGAGACGAAGGGGCAGGCCAGGAGCTGAGAAGACCAGGAATCGAACACTTTGTTTTGAGAACAGAGAAATTTGAGCAAAGAGAAGCAGGGGAGGCAGGAGCGCTCCAAGCTTCAGGCTCTGCGCTTTGCTGCCCAACGCCGTGACCGCCAGCGACAGGTGCAGGTGAGGGCAGCGTGTGGAGCTTAGAGGGGGGAGAGCCGACAGACCTCTGCAGTGGCGAATGCGTGACGGAAATCCCCAGTGGGCCAGCAGTTAGGGTAGACCCTTCTAATTTCAGACCCCAGGTACGGAATGTATTCTTTCTTAAAATCCAAAAGCAAAACACAGGGTTTGCTGGTGAATCTTGGCAAATGCTCCTCTCTATCCTTAGCGTTAAAGCCCAGGGACAGAGATAAGGCCACAGCGACAGACCACAGGGAGATGAGATGTGAATGTGTGTGGATGGGAAGGATTGACTGCTTGGAGCTATGGAGGCAGAAATGACAGAATTGGGGAGGGGTAAGAGAAAAAGCACAGATTCTTGCAGTTTTATGAATTTGGAGACAGCTTTCCTTAACAGTGGCGCTCAGGACTACCACCCTCAAGATACACGGAGCTGGGACAAAAAATATTTCTTGACACCAGTATGGAAACAGTTACCATCGATTTATTACCCTTCCTGCCGTATTCTTTACCTTACTTCCATATAAAAATGTGGGAAGCGGCTTAGCAGAGGAGGAAGAACAGAGGCTTTGGCCTCAATGAAATTTGGGTCCAATTCTTGCTCCGTCACCACCAGCTGTGACACCAGAGTGAGTCACTGAACCTCTGGAAGCCTGCGTCTTCACCAGCTAATGAGGGAAAATGGAGTTGTAGCAGAAGTCAAGTGAAGGGCTCGGGGAGCACCGGTGTTATCTCCCTCCCTCCCTCCTGACTCCAGACTCCTTCCGGTGCCGGGTGCCATCTGCCCAGGGAGCTCTCCCTGGCTCTCAAAGAACTGCCATTTTGAACAGCTTGGGAGGAAGAATGCAAGTGTTCTCCTTGGCCCTGCCCCAAGACCTGACACACCATCATTTTTCAACAAAACCAACATGCAATTTTATTCATGAATTTATGTTCCAAGTAATGTTCACTTAATTGGCGTTGAGCTCCCTTAAAACTAGATTATGCTACTCAATTTCCAACTCTATCCAAGTAAGCCTAGGCCCTAGGATAGAGGCTGAACACCAAAGCAGAATGGGGAAACAGTTCCTATCTTCCACGCTTAGCCACTCAAGCCATTTTGGCAGCAGCATCTCTGATTTATCCGTGGACGTGTTCGGTATGAAGCCAGCCTATAGTGTATTCCGGTTTATTTTCCACAGCATAATTAGGAATGATGATGATTAGTTAGGTAAAGAGAAGAAAATTTATGAGCCTATGGACCGAAGCTAATGATGAATCATCCCTTTTCCTTTTCTTCGGAACCTGGAAAGGTGTGAGTCAATCACAGAAGAAAGGGAATGCAAACAAAGCCCATGTAAGCTGGAAAATAAACTCGAGT